TCTCACTTTTACTATCTCAAAGTTTACCATGTTCATAGAGCAGCGTTATCAAAAAACAATACAGGGTGTAATAAGTTTAACAGTATTTATTAAAAGAACTGTTCCCTTAACAGTAATGATGCAGGGCGTGTTACGACAAACCGGTACATACGGAGATAGCCAGAAAAAGGCTACTAATTCCTTTATACTCATGCAATTCAGATAAAAAATCCGTACAAGCATCAATTGTCAATTGTAATACACACCTAGAAGCAATTTGGAGAGAAAGTGATGAATTTGATAATGCACATTTAATTACGCATTACAAATGTAATATTCCCGTCAAATTGCACACATACATACCAAATTTTATGAAATTTGGATGACAAATAAGAAAGTGGGTAATGCGCATGCATACAACAAAAATTCAATATGTCATCAATTCTAGAATTTGATAATACACATAGTGATAAAATTTGGATAAGAAATACAAAAATTTGTAATCCGCATGCGCACTAAAAAATTAATATTCCCATCAATCTAAGAATAGAATTATACACATACATACCAAATTTACTGGAATTTGGATGAGAAATAAGAAAGTTGGTAATGCGCATGCGTACAACAAAAATTCAATATCGCCATCAAATTGAATTATACACTTATTTATCAAATTTAATGGAATTTGGATGTGAAATTGGTAATGGTATGCGCACAACAAAAATTCAATATTGTCATCAAATTTTTGTCACATAAATACCAAGTTTGATGAAATTTGGATAAGAAATAAAATAGTTATTATTGCGCTTGCGCACCGTGCAAATTCGAAATTTTTCTGCAGATCACAAATCGAATATACAACTTTATACCAAGTTTGAAGAAATTCGGATGAGAAATAAGAAAGTGGGCCAATAAAGCCGTGGGCTTGGGTTCAGGGTGTTTCAGCAGGTTCAATTGACAGCATGAAATCTTTTAATCCATCTTTGATCGTCCTTATATGCGCAAGCTTGACAAATTGACAAATTGACAAATCTCGCGTATATGCCCGTGCTTCCACGATGACGCAGACAGGATTTATAAATGTCTTCGACAGTTCTAAAGTTGTTGTCAATAGTAATTATTACAGTAAATATCAACATCATCCGAGGTCAAGTGCCTGTAATAGAAGCATTCAAAGTTTCGAGTAAATTGTAACATTTTCTTAACGGGATTATGACGCTTTGAGATACTGCAATGCAAAATTACCAAATGAACCCCTGTAAGAGTAAAATCAGAAAAAAAGGTGTGACTCCAAAATTCCATGTTACCACTTATCATCATGGTAAATATACATGTCATCAAAGGTCATGGTCGTGAGATATACAGGAAAATATTCTGATCGCAGGCTACTCTACAGGAAGTCCTGACATTGTAGTCTTTTTTTTTATAATTCACCACAATTTTATTGTATTTAGTAACAAAAATGTTTTAAACATGTCATTGGGGTCATGCGAATTGTTTCTTTTCACGTGTATAAGTAATTAGTCACTAGGAATATATTCCAGGCCACAAAAAATCCACATCGGCGTAAACAAAAGGATTGCCTCGTCCTTATTCTTAAATTGACTTACTGATGTAAAACACACTAATAAATCCAATTGTTTCGCATACAAACCATTTGTTAACATGCACTAAAAAGTACATATATCATTAGTTTCGCGAACAAAATCTTATTTAAACTAACAGTTATATGTGATTAAGATAATTACTATATACCATTCATTGTAAATAAAAAGAAGAACGTAAAAGGTATTCCTTTCTATATCAAATAGATGGTACGTGGGTTTGTTCCCTTAATTAGATGCGGATTTATCGGTTATTTTATATCATTTTTGTTACTTACTGGCAATGTCTTAAACATTGATTTTCGTTTTACATTCATTCCGTGATCAGCCACGAGTTAGAAAACGCCATGAAATACGTTTTGCCGAACCTGTAGCCGTTCCCGAGAAAACGGGCCTGTGGTAAAAAAAAACGCATTATAACCGACTATCAATCAGAAAATTAGGACAACATGGATAAAACAAGAGATTACCTATAATGTATGAGCATGTGAAATGTTCAATCAAATGTTAGAAATATCATAGTTACCTGATTACCAGTCGTTTAAAATCTGCACTATTATATTTCAATTATAATTGTATAATTGTGGGACTTTGCTTTCTCAAAGTCTCAGTTTGTTATCATATTGTCAATTCTTTTTTTTTTTTTTTTTTTTTTTTTCGAAATTTCCACAGGGCACACATCAACATTTCTACATGTGTAAACCTTCTGCAGTGGCAACGTTGTTAGTGAATATGAATTGGAACATTTTTGCAAAACCGTAAGTGCCACAGTGCAACATATGCAAAAACTCGTAAATTGGCTCTAGAAGGCCCATTTATGCATCGATTTTCTTCGGGTTTTCATTTTTAAAATCTGGCTGTAATTTCTGATCAGATAGCACTTGAAAAATTACGAAATTCGAAAATTTGTCACAGACTTTTTTCGATTGAATTTTGTAATTTTTTTGCAACTTTTTTGTTTTTGCATCGATATATCTGAAATTTAAAATGCAAAGAGACATCAATAAAGTCAATGATATGATACAGTCAGAGTTTTGACGTCACTTCCGGTTTTGAAGGTGGAATCAATTGAAAGTACAATCTACTTCCGGTCGAATAACTTCCGGTGTAAATGAAATAGGTCAACGGAATTTATGCAGGTCGTAAGTAAATGCTAATACAAAAAAACGAAGAATATAAAATCCAGACCGGAAGTGATACTTTGGTCGCCATTTTGATTTCCCCGAAACTCTTCGATTTTTATTCAACCGAATTTCAAAGTTTTGGTGTCAAATGAAAGAACATAAAGAATAAGAGAGATCGCAGGAAGCCGATTTTTGAATTTCGATTTTGCTTTTTTGCAATTTGCGATTGAATTTTTTCAATATTTGATGGCGTATATCTCGTGACCTTGACCTTTGATGACCTTGACCTTAAGTAGGTCAAAAGTCATTGACCTTGGCTACCAGATGATACTTTGATATTTGACCTCCGGCACCTACTTCCTGTTTTATAGCTGACCGAAAACAGCCAAAATCGCAACTTTGGACTGTTCTTACAGGTGACCTAATTGACCTAGAGAGTTAATTTTTGCAGATTCTGAATGGTCTTAACGAACTTTTTCGAACGATATATCACAATGGATTGTAATGCAAAATTTAATTTTTTTATATTTTTTAATTTTTGGAAACCTTTAACTGATTTTGTGAATTTTTTGACATTAATATAAGCATATCTCACGAACCATTAGATATAGAGGCTTCAAACTTGGAACATAATTAAACATACCCCATATAAATGTATCCACCCAAAACAAATTGACGTGGGCGTGGCACATCCGGGTTAAATTTTCATTTTGTTTACATTTTGTTGTCTGGAAAAAAAATATATAGATTACAATTTTTTGGAAAATGCTTTTGCACACGCTTACCTCATTACTTAAGCTGAATTATATAAAAAAATCTCAGATGTTTCAGCTTTTTAGTTCAAAAAAAGGAACGGGTTTTAGGATTTTCAAAATTTTCAATTTTAGATTTTGACCGTTTTTGACCTTGATGATTGTATATCGCATTAACCAATGAGATGTAAAGGCTTAAAAATAACGCATGTATATGATATTATCAATATTTATAAAGTGAGTACAAAAAATTTGACGTGGGCGTGACACATCCGGGTTGAATTACTAATTGTTTACATTTTGGGGCTGGGGCATAACTCGCATAGGATGCGTTTGTTCAAAAAGAGACTTTGCACACAAAATTACCTCATCCTTTTGGCCAGTTTGTGTTAACAGCTCAGTTGTTTCAGCTTTATAGTTTCAAAAAAGGAACGGGTTTTTTCGATTTTGACCTTTGTTGACTTTTGTTGACCTATATCTTTTGACCTCTATTATGTAAGAACTTGACATTTGGAACATAACGTAACATTTTAAATATTAATTAACTTATTAAAAAAAAATTGAGGTGGGCGTGGCACTTCTGAGCTAAATTACTCACTATTGACATTTTTGGCCAGGGGCATAACTCGCAAAGTATACATTTGTTCAAAATGGAACTTTGCACACAATTACCTCATATTTTGAGACACTTTATCTTAGAATTTCGGTTGTTTCCGCTTCATAGTTCAAAAAAAGGAACAGGTTTTGGAAATTCAAAATTTTCAATTTTTGACCTTGACCTTTGTTGACCTTGACCTTTGTAGGATCACACGTCATTGGCATTGGCACTTTTATATTTGCTGTCCTATGTCAACTTCCGGTTTTATAGTCGTTAGCAATTTGAAAATTTAATGGCGTATATCTCTTGATCTTGCCCTTTTTAGACCTTCTCCTTTACAAGATCAAAGGTCATCGACCTTTGCTATCTGCTGATACTTTTATTTGTGAGGTCTGACTTCTACTTCCGGTATTAGAATCTTCTAAAAAATGAAAATTTCTCAACTTTAGACTGTTCTTGCGCTTGATCTAATTATCGTGGAAGGATGATGTTTTCGGGGTCTTTAGCAAATTGCTACATTTGCAAAGTCCCACTCTGTGCCACGAGTGGCTCTAGTTTTATTATTTACTATTGTATTGTAATTAGTCAAGGCCCCATCCTTGATATTGTGTAATAGTATAAATGGGAGAAATAAAATATAAATTTTAACCGTACGATGAGATAACTATTTTACCATATGGCGACATTAAAGCCAAATGGGGTTCTCGACCGAAAACTTTTCAGTTTATCAGTCACGTGATTGTAGACGATTCCCTTTCAAGTTTTCCTTTCAGATGGTGGTTTAGTAAATGTGGCTGTTAATAAATCAGCTAACCAAATTAGCACTTATCAAACAAATGTAGCATCCAGAGCGATTGATGGTATAGATGGATTTTTAGTCAGTGGATCCAGTTGTTCGAATACCGAATCAAACACAGATACACCTTGGTGGCAAGTTGATATCATGCAAGACTACTTCATCTACGCTGTGGCCGTAACTCATATCGCAAATTGTAAATATTACTTTTTTGTGCTGGAATATCACTTAATATCAATAGTCCGCAAGTCAATTCGCTTTGTTAACTCGACAGGAGCTACATATTTGTTATCTGAATTAGATAAAACTTTGTAAACATAATTTGTATCAATTATAAAAACTTAAGTAATTTAATCAAAATAGGCCTTTAAGCACGAAAGAAGCTGAAAATGTCAATGATTCGGAAAATTATCATTTTAATTGATGAGATCTTGCACGAGTTTGAAATTTACGATGTTCCATTGAACGGATACAGTTATACAGTGGAGATTATACTAATAGACATGTGTCTGTATACCTCTTTAATTCTTTATCTTTCAGTCGGACAACAGTTGGCTCACGATTATTCTATTAAGATCTATAAAGAAGGAGATTCATTTTCTGATGCCGAACTTTGTTACTATCATGTGGGTAAAGGAGCCATGGGAAAGACTGTAATGTATAATTGTAAACAGATAATAAAAGGTCGCTATGTAAGAATTACTATTAATGGTCAACCGGGCACTAGAGAGGTTCTAGTATTGTGTGAGGTAAGTTTCAAAATATATGGTAGTTACAATAATTGCTTTAGCAGCTCAATTTCGAGATAAATTCCCAAAATGGAAATTCTGTTTAGCCTCGATATCGGTGTTATCTGTAAAGTATTACTCAAATCAAGGTGTTCTGGTTCCAGTCCCCTCTGATGTTTGAGCTCGCCCCTTCCCTTTCAGTAAAGGAAATATTTGTTCCATAGGGAAATAAACTGATTCCCAGTGTACTACAGGCTATGAAGTCAAGTACCCCATGCCGGTAAGAAATTTAAATCTATGACTTTTTCTTTTCCAATAGCCACATCAGCAGTAGAAAAGTAAGATGTTAAACTAAATTTTACAGTTTGTAAATTCCATACATCCATATTGTCCAAATTTGATTGGATATTGGTTTTAACTTGGTGGACCTTTTATGGTGTGTGCATCAATGTAACTAACGTTCCCAAAATACGCTTAGAAAGACCATTAATAATCATTTCCGCCATTATAATTTAAACCAAAACTTGTTAATATTTTAGGTTCGAGTATTTGGGACACACCTTGCCAGTATCAAGTCGTCATACATTCAATTAGAAAATGTTGAGTTATCAATCACTCCGGATATGACGTACAGGGTACAAGGATATGGTCAATGTGCTATGAAATGTTATGTGTTACCAATGTGTCATATCTTCAGTGTTAAATTGGTATCGGGTTATTATCAATGTAATATATTTACACAGGAAAATACTCTGCTCGTAGGCAACTCTACAGGAAGTCCTGACACTGTAGTTTTTTACAATTCGCAATAATTTTATTGTATTTAGTAACAAAAATGTTTTAAACATGTCATTGGGGTCATGCGAATTGTTTCTTTTCACGTGTATAAGTAATTAGTCACTAGGAATATATAACAAAATATCCACATTGGTGTAAACAAAAGGATTTACTCGTCCTTATTCTTAGGGTTTAAACTGACTTACTGCTCTAGAATACACTAGCAAATCATCAGTTAATATTTACTAAAGAGTACATATCATATCATTAGTTTCGCGAACAAATAAATCTTATTAAAACTAACAGTGATATGCAGTGCGATTAAGATAATTAGTTTACACCATTCACTGTAAAAAAGGAAGGGCAGTGATTTTAAATGGGAGGGGGGAAGGGGGTGCTTCTAAGACATTCGCGCTTGCGGACAGGAGGGTGTCTGAGGAGGGATGTTCCACCCTAAGAAGCAGATACTTTTGGACATTTTAAGTCTAAATTCGAGTGTGTACTTTTTTGTAAATTATTTGTTATTTTCAATGAGTATTGCTTTTGCTTGGTATTTAGGCTAGATCAAGTACCACTTCATAGACTAGAGTCGCTTAGACTTAATACTGCTTGTATAAATATTGTATCCTATCCTAAACATGAAATTGGTAACTCACTAATAATAAACTGTGATATGTTGTTTATACAGTAAAATTAATATAGATTCACAAACTGAATGCTTTGTTATTGTAGCTCAGATACTAAAATAGATAATGCATCATTTGAACGGAAATTTCAATATGACAATCTCTTTTTAATATACCAGAGTAACTAGCAGCAGCAGTCCCGAACTGAAATGAAATATGTCGCATTTTTTGACAAGGGCTAACACCAAAACGACTGCTGGTTACTTAACAAGTACTATTTTTCATAGAACAATTTTGGAAATTTGGTAAGAAAGGTTGTATTCTTAGAAGATCGAGGTCAGTATCAAGAATTTCGAAGTAGAAAAAACAACCTCATTATATATAGTGTTATGTCGACTGAAAAGGAGATTGTAGAAACAACTGTGAAAACGCTATTTAAAGTTGACCGTGGAGCCAGATATCTGCTCAGATTTCCACATAACCCCGGCAATAACATTTCTGGTAACAGTGCTTGTATAAATATTGTATCCTATCCTAAACATGAAATTGGTAACTCACTAATAATAAACTGTGATATGTTGTTTATACAGTAAAATGTAATAAACATAATATAAGTTTCAACTTCATATCTGTATCGTGGGTTTACGGGACGTTTGTAGTCCCAACAGTCTCCCAAATCGATCTATTGCCAACAGATGGATTCGATATATTGTTTGTTGGAGAAGAGGTATTTCTTTAGATCAATATCAATATGACCCACATTTACCTCAAATTCAACCAAATCCAACCCTTTTTCAAGGAAACATAGTTTTCTTTAAAAAGCCTCAAGTTATTGAGCTGCTCTGAGAACTCTAGGTCCATGGATGTATTGAGTTCTCTCAACATGCAATACTTCGAGATCGCTTAATCGAGTGTTTGTTATTGTATTTCTCAAATATGTTTTTATCAGCTTTAAACAAAAAAGATGCGTAATTGGAATCATGTGTGTAATTAATGTAAACAATCATGTCATCATGTAGTCAATATTTAGGCATAGTTTATATTATCAGCGGTTGTACACACGCATCCATTCCAACCCATACCGATTGATTTTATTGGTTTCAAGTTTTATCGTGGCATATGGAAAATATTAATTATACATTAACCGTTAAATTAATATAGATTCACAAACTGAATGCTTTGTTATTGTAGCTCAGATACTAAAATAGATAATGCATCATTTGAACGGAAATTTCAATATGACAATCTCTTTTTAATATACCAGAGTAACTAGCAGCAGCAGTCCCGAACTGAAATGAAATATGTCGCATTTTTTGACAAGGGCTAACACCAAAACGACTGCTGGTTACTTAACAAGTACTATTTTTCATAGAACAATTTTGGAAATTTGGTAAGAAAGGTTGTATTCTTAGAAGATCGAGGTCAGTATCAAGAATTTCGAAGTAGAAAAAACAACCTCATTATATATAGTGTTATGTCGACTGAAAAGGAGATTGTAGAAACAACTGTGAAAACGCTATTTAAAGTTGACCGTGGAGCCAGATATCTGCTCAGATTTCCACATAACCCCGGCAATAACATTTCTGGTAACAGTATGCTTTCAGACACTCTGCAAAACCACAAGCTATCATTGTGACGTTTTTTCGGTTGCTGACACAATATTTTATCAAAAGCCCACAGACTGCAAAAGGGAAAAAAATATAAAAATGTATGGTTGGAAGCAAGGAAAGATTAAAGCTTTCAATGGGTATAATTATTATATGGGACTGGTGAATAACGTTAATAAATCAATACATGTATTGTGTAAAACATCTTTGTGCCTCTGTCTGTGCTGCTGAATTATAATATTGATGTAAGATCTCGAAGAAAGAAACAACTATTTCTTTTACATGGATAACAACTTAGGTTAACGGGGTTACGTTCTACCAGTTGGCTATACCTTGGCTAAACATTTGGGATTGATCTTTCTCGGAGTTCGTTTCAGCTCGTTTTTTAGGATCCTGAGGGTCAAGGTAAAAGGAATTCGCCTGGTTTTTAAAAGTGTCTCCGTCTGGAGCGTGTATATGGTGATTTCCATTATCGATGATAAAGAGTCGTCCCTTGCCCTCAAACGTTTCCGAGCTGCTGTATATTTGGTACGAATTAAAGATTGATGTTTATGTTATTGTCTTGAGGATTACCATCGAGCATAGAGCAACCTGAGTGAGCCACTCCATTTTCGATTTTTCTGATTTCCAATAGGCTTTATCCGTTGGTTATTACGAACGCTCACACCAAGTTTCGTCAAAATCCATCAAGAATTGTCCCTTCTAGAGTGTTTAAGAGCTAAAAATTGAACGCGTTTTCAATATATAATATATAATAACTCATACTAAATGTTTTTCGATTTTTCTGATTTTCAATAGGGTTTATCCTTGGGTGATAACCAACAATCAATATCTTGATGAAACTTGGTATGCATGTATATATTGATGAGATCATGTTAGAAATTGGTAATCACAAAGGAACGGTTTTAGAGTTAATGCCCTTGACTAAGAAGAAATGCGTTAAATTTCGACTGTAGGCACGATAGATGACCGAAATGAAACTAAGTATGCATGTATAGTGATGAGATCTCAGTCGAGTTCGTAGTTCTCAACACCCCCGCATAGACCGAAACATCTGTGTCTATTCCAGCCTCTGATAGCTATTTTGGACAGGAGTCAGCTGGTGTGGAGACAGAAAATATGAGCCCTATTAAATGGAGACATTCCGCATCTCAGTAGGTGCGGAGGTTTTAAACCTATTTAGATACCTCGAACCTGCAAAACCATAGGTTTATTTGGAAGGATGAATATGTTTGTAGTTCAGTCATACCATCATTTTCTGCCTAAATCATTTACGTCATGTTTACGGTTTCATCAAATTTGTAAAAATGCGCGCGTAGTCAAAAGTTCAAATGTCACAGAGTCACGTGATACTAACAAAACGAAAGTTAGGGTGATGCCCATCACTAATTTACAATTATCTTAAAGGTAATTCAATATTATGTTAGAGAAAACACATCTTTGGAGGTGTGGAAAATCCCCATTTAACAAAGTCTTTTTCCTCTGACTCTACTACAGCTGACAACTGTCAAAATATCCATCAGAAGCTGGAATAGAGGCAGATGTTGCGGACTACACCCACTCAGAGCTTATGAAACTGGGGCTAAAAAATTAATAAAAGTCTTGAACTCAGTGCTTTTAGTTAAAAATATTTTTTTATTCTGACTTAATTTAACAACATTTTTTTTAATAAGATTTGCTAAAACAAAACATAGATTCGTGAAAAAAAAACCACAGATTTTGTATAAATAGTATATTATAGTTATAGATCAATAACAACGTTAAAGAAAGGGAATAAAGTTGGATATGCCTCGTGCACAGAAATCAATGTGTTCAGTCAAGGGATCCAAGACCTGTTTTAATGATTGTTTTCAAAATTGATCTTCTCCATGTGTAGCAACAACGATAATAAACAAAATCGATGTAATTTCAAAAACCATTAATGACGATTTTAAGCAAGTTTCCTAGTTAATTGGGTGTTTTCGAGGACTTTTCCCCCCGTCTATATTATAAACTTCCTAACTTTAAGTATTATTATAACATCTCCAAAAAGCATTAAAAGAAGAGAACCAAGCTCACAGATTTATTATGAAACACAAAATGGTCGCATATGTCGCAGGTTGATAGCGACTGTTTTAGACTTTGTATTTTTCAAGATCTTCTTCTCGCGTTTTATTCACGATTGATGGCGACAAAGAGATCGCAAATTGTTACAGTCCGGTGTGACAGGGCTTATAGAATCAGAGTATATGTAAATCCTCCGTATGACCCAGACCCATCAGAGCAAAGTGAAGAGAAAAGAAATTATTAGGGTTTATTGTTCACTGTCAACCTAATCTGTCTTTCAGCCGGGCCCGTAGCCAGACTTGATGTAATGTAATGGAATTAGTCGGTAATCAAAATGTTTTTCAGATAGGCAATATTTTTGTTTCGCAGAGGGCAGGGGGTATAGCTACCATTCTTTCACCATGTTAAGTGATAACAAATTTGAAAATGGGGAGGGGGCAAATCCGGTGTCCATTGTGACTAAATATGGAATCCGATCCGACACTGTTTTGATCATTGTATAATAAATTTATTCATTTAAAATGTCAATGAACTCGCCAACATGAGTACTTCAAATCAAAATCGATGTGATCTTTTTTAGTTTAAACTTTCAGATACGTTAAGGGACACATTTCTGTAGATTTCGGAATATAGTTTTCACAAATTTGAGGTTACCCGCAATATTACAACCTTAAATTCCTAATTACTCGTTCTCTTCTAACTTTGGTCGGTCTGGACATTGCGAACATTACATAGTCCCATCGGGATATTTCGCTC